ACACACACACACACACAGATAAGCTCAACAATGTACTGTATTGCTCCCCTGACAGACTGAGCTCATTTTGCTGAATGTTGGGGTCATTTCAGTTTTTAGTCATGCTGTGGACATCAATGTCGGATTGTCAGTCAGTAGTCACTGCGGTCCAGAATGACATATTTCAACATCTACTGGATGGATTGCAATGAAATTCTCTACAGGAATTCATGGTCCCCAGAGGTTGAGGCCTAAACACTTTGGCAGTCCCCATATTTGTCCTCTGGTGACACCACAAGGTTGACATATGTGGTAAAGCGCCACTATCATGTCAAAAATCTAATTTCTTGTTTATGACCAAATACCTGCACAATTGCATTCCCATCAGCCTCAGCACAACTTTCTGTTTGCATGCTAACACGCTAAACTAAGGTAGTAAACAAAATGATGACATGAGCATGTAACCAATGTTATTGTGAGTATGTTAGCATGCAGAAAATTAGCATTAAGCATTAAAATACAGCTGTCCCTAAGTACTGCATAGTTTCACAGAGGTGCTAGCATGGATGTACACATTTGAGTGTTTTATAAAAATCCAATTAAAAAAAAACATGCCTATACCTACACAAATTGTATTTCTTGCTGGCTAAGTCAACACATAATTAACTCAAATGTTATGTTCTTAAAACCGTTCCATTAAGCCAGTGCTAACAATATCTAATCCACAAATAATTTTGATTCAGAATACTCTAATAACTTCACCCTGCATCTAATAAGATCTCTTAATTGTTCTGAGATAACTGATCTGATAATGTGTTAAAAACCTGAAGATTTATCTTTACTGTGCAAACTGCAGTTTTCATTTAGCAGCAAACAGACTTGTCAATAAAAGCTCATTAGATTCTAGAGGCCTTGGACGGTCTTCATGAAAACACACTACACTTTACTCTACACACACACTAGACTGTTCTACACACACGCACACGGTGTGGTACTGACTGTCAGTAATGTGGAAAATGACGCTGCAGCAGTGAGGGACGAACAGACGGAGAGACTCAGCGGGGTGACACTGCAAACAGACACACACATACATTTTTAGATGCCCAAGCCGAAGCATGCAGAAAATTACACCAGTAAGTACTGATTTCTCCAAAAATTAAGCAAGTAAGTAAAATAACCCTAAATACAGAGAATTAAGTGAGTGTAACTACAGTATAACATTTATGTGGAGGTGGTGAATGAAGAAAATAATTCTGTATCATACATGTCTTCATAAAGATGTTTCAGACAAGTGACAAAAAAACTGAAATCTGATAAAGTCACATACATACCTTAGCAGCAGCTCTGCACATGTCAGCCACCATCCTGCCAGACACACACGTCTCAAAGATATTGGAGGTGGCAAAGTTATACACCTTCTGCAACGCCATCTAACACAAAGGCCAAGTTTGGAAAGATCAGATGGTGCATATGTGCTACTTAATGTGTACTATGTGTTTTTCTTTTGTTAAAATTTCCACAGACATAACACAAGAGTTACAGATTAAGTGTAACTGATAATATAAGCCATATTTTGGGAAACTCAACAGTTCCACAGTAACAGCTGCTACCATTCATCAGGGGTTATATGAGACTAATACTGCGGAGATGATAGAAGACATAGCACTGATTATATTCAAAGTACTCTCATGGGGACTGTGGCTGCTAAACTGTACAACTATCTTTATAATACAATCACTTTTCTATTAGGGTTGAATGGACTTAATGTGAATTGTGTTGGAGCAAAAGAATTAGCCAAATAAATGTAATGTGGTGTTAATGGTAACTTTTATATTTCTCTATAACATCAAATATTCATGATTAAATAAACAACCATCAAAGTTAAAGTTTAAAAAAACTGAATATTTATGTATTATTTATTTATTTATTTAAAGGACCAGTGTGTAGAATTTACTGAAATCATAGGATTTACTAGAAACTACAGTGGCTGTGAAAGTCACAAAAAATGCAAAAGATCCTACTTAGAGCCAGAGTCTGGTTTGTCCATTCTTGGCTACTGTAGAAACATGGCGGTTCTACATGGTGGACTCTGCAGTAGAGGACCCACTCCCTCTGTAGATAAAAACGTCTCGTACTGTTAACAAAAACACAAGAGTTCTTATTTTCAGGTGATTACACACTAATGAAAACATACCTATGAGTATTACATCCCCTTTCTGCCAAAAGATCCTCCTAAATTTTACAGACTGGACCTTTAAAGTAGAAAAACGTATTTCTCAAAGCCAAGTAAAGTATCATTTTGTTATGGTGATCAAAATTTACCATAAAATATATCAAATAAGAAACCTTTCAAATGACATTTTGAGTCCTACACACAGACATATCCACCCTCCCTGTCCCTTTCTCTGCCCCAGTTTAGTTCTGAGTAGACACTGCAAACCTCCACACTTCATTAAACACATAATTGTGTGTGCTGAGTGTCTAAGTACACACCTTAAAAACACACCTCTGGTGTCAAACACAGATCGCAGCATGGCAGAAAACAGCCATTAAACAGCTATTACCTCTGACTACCTACAACTGGAGCTCGTCAGGAATACACAATGTCTTCATTATGTTCAAACAACCATCGACAATATAAGTACAAGTCTATCATAAATGTAATTGCAATCTGTTGTAAAACTAGTGTCAACCACGATGCCAGCTCTGCTTGTTTCCACACAGGAATATTTGACGGAGGAGCAAAAACAGTATATATTTTACAACCTTTGGGGATGTGATCCTCATTTAAAATCTGTCATTCTTGAAACTGATCCTACTCCACCGATTTACACATATATCTTTCTTTTTTAAAAACTGAATAGTATACTTGATACTTTTTCATTAATACATTGAGATGCAGGTATAAGTACTGTACCGTCCAGTGTCTCTGCTGTGTCTCTGCATTTGAAAGTGATATTAGAGATAAAGTGTTATGCATAAAGCTCTCCTTAATGATCATTAATGTTGGAATAATGAGTCACAAGTGGCACACATGTTCTCATCTGCCAAGACAGTTTCAATGAATAATAATTACTTAATGCAAGTGGATTTCATTTAATATATCTATATTTTAAGATTCTTCTTTTCTTTTGAGACCAGACTATGTTTCTAAAAGCCTTTGTGTTGCATTTTTCTGTGGACAGTGTCTCTCTTTAGCTGAGAAACTAAGATTTGTCCACATGTCATTGCACTGATTTGATCATTTATTTAGAGGCCTTTAGGCTCATATTTGCTCCGTATGTATATATGTTGTTGGCATAAGACTCTTTCACCTCAGACACCTACAGTAGCTCCTCTGTGCACTCATGAGGTTTGTTATTTCTAACTTAATTCTCATTGGAAGATCTTCTCTCTGCCTGTTATTGATTTTGTTACTATGTATTCATGCTGCTGTGTTGTTTACCTGCAGCAGCGAGTTTACTCTGATCCATACCAGTTCAACAGCCAGCTCCATTTGCCACATAATTATACTTATAAGTGTGTTATTTTGTGTATTATATATGTAGAAGTGTGTGTTTTACAGGCAAATTTGTGTTACAATTACATGTTGTTGACACAAATATTTGATAATAAATATATATTTATATATATTTATATATATATATAGGCATAATATTCAAATATTTGATTGAATATTATGCCTCACTGTATTATGTATTAAAAAAATCTATTTTTAAAACATAACATTTTGATGCTGCCTCACATTTTCAATCAAAATACACAACAAATGCACCCAATGGCAGCTACAACCTTCATGCATGTATCTTAAGTTTCTTTAATGATCACAGCCAACGTGTCTGTGGTAGTAAATTCTTAGTTTTTCATATTGTTAGGCCAAAAGTGCAGATTGAAAAAAAGAGAGGTAAATGGCATTAATGCACTGATTTATGTTGAAATAGGCTTGAATATGTTGTATTTTTAAGAAAACTGAGAGAAGGTTGTCATGTCTGTAAATAAATAAATCTAAATATGAAACTACTGGTAGCAGCCCATTAGCTTAACTTAGCATCAAGACAAGACTTGGGGGAAACAGCTTGCGAAAGGTAATAAAAATGCCTACCAGCACCTCTGAAGCTTACTAATTAACACCTTATATCTTTAATTTAATCTATACAAAAACCAGAGGAGGTGCTGGTAGTTTTTTTTTTTTTAAACTTTGTGCAAGCCAGGCTGTCTGTTTCCGACCTATAAGCTAAGATAAAGTATTAGGCTTATTGCTGTATAGCTCATCTTACTTTTGCAAGAAAGCAAATTAATGTACCAAAATGTCACTTAAATTTAAGTGTCGATGCAGCCTCACTTGTACCACTGTATTACATTGAAGTGTTGAATTATTAGACATAATATATTTAATATACACAGATTGATCGGCTTTTCATCGCCCATACAACAGAAAACAAACAATTTATCCTATAAATGCCATGTTTAGTGACTCCACATGTATCTGTCTGTGTGTGTGTATGTGTGTGTGTGTGTGTGTCAGTTATGCAGATTGCAGAGCTGACCATGGCTGGCACATTAATTATAGAGAGAGATATGTAGCGGCTGTTGTTGGGTGCGATGGCACATTGATTGCCAGTAAAGAAGATTTATCTGTCCAGCATGGGGACATCTGTCATAGCATGGGACAGTGTTATCCCATCCTACCCTCTTTCTGTTTCTCTTTCACCATTTCTCTCTGGCTGGCATGTCCCATTTGGATGGTGACCAACAAACATGGAGAAGGAAAAGAAAAGGGGGAGAGAGGGAGAGAGAAGACTGCTGTTATATAAATTAGTTAATCTTGCTGGTCTGAGCAGCTTCCCCGCAGAACAGATGTTTAGCGTGATTAAAACTTTTGTCTTGCTCATTAAAAAAATCCTTTCTTCGGACAGATGATGGCTTCTTTTGCCAGAGAGCTGAGCCTACCTCTCTGCCCTGATTAAGAGCAGGAATTCCATGCTAAAATCCAACATGATATAGTACGGTGTAGCACAACATGCAGAAGCCAGATGCTCAATGTAAAGCAGTGCTGAAACAATAAGCTGATCATTTCATTAGTTGTTTAAGTAATTATCCAGCAAAAAAAGTTACTGCTGACAGTGCCTTAAATGTGAGGACTCAGCTTTATTCCAATTCTAGTCCTATGCTGACATTTTTAATTTTTAAATCTACACCAATTTTTTATCTACAATATCTGCACATGGCAACTGTGGTTAAGGTAAAAATGTCTTGATTATGGCAACTATGTATGGAGAGGGTTTGGTTATGATTAGGGTACAAACTAAAAAGCTTTTGGTCAGGGTTAGGGAGGGATTGTGCTCCAACACAGCTTCCTGCACTGGCATTGAGTGATGGCACTGGAAGTAAATTTTGGGCAGCAGATTCATCCAATATGAGAGTGAGGGGCATTGGACAGCTTGTACCTGTGTGAACGATTTTGGTCCGGGGCTCTTTTTAATGGTTTGGGTTAGGTCCCTTTAGTCTAATTAAGATAAATCGTCATGCTACAGATCATAATTATTTTTTGGAGGATAGTTTGTGTGCAAATTTGTAAGAGCAGCAATTCAACATTAAAGTGTCCCCATTCACAAAGTGTGGTCTATAAAGTAAATGGTGCATTCAGGGCGCCTTGGTAGCTGAATTCCTACAGTGTGTGGGTGTAATGTTTGCGTGTCCTCATACTTTTGGCCATTTACTGTTGTGTATTTTTGGATCTGGATTGTTGGTTTCTAATAGTTTTCTGAATGGAAATGTGGCCCAGTGACATTAACTTTCCAGTGCCTGCCTCATTATTCCTACGTGATCACAGTGGTGGTAATTTCAAATCTCCTCCTCCTCCTCCTCCATCTGTCC